GATTACTCTGTTCCACCCATTGGAATAATCCATATGGAAGAGCTCGCAGAAACTTGTCCAGTACCAGGGTCTACATTATTTGAGCCGGTGTAGATTTTTCTGGGGCAAGCCATTTCTTTGCAAGAAATGTCAAATCAAATAGCTGGGCTCTCAGGGTTAGTGGTCTTGATATGCCCAATGTTGTGATATTGTTGGGCATATACTGCAGGATTACCACAAGCTCTGGCTAGAATCTCAGCCTTTAAATCGATCATAGTCCTCAGCAGCTTCTTCCCCCAGGTCAAAATATACCTTTTGAGCCTCTCCCAGTAAAAAAGGTGCAAGGATGCCAGCCCTTTTGTTCTGGGCCACCACTCCCTTGTTGCAGTTCTTTCAAAAGCACGGAGGTAGGCTTCCACATCATCTTGGATAGTCATATTTTTCAGGTATTGGTTTGCCTGGAAGGACTTGGATATCCTGCTGAACTCATGTTGTAAAAAACTCTGCACCATCTCTTTAAAGCACACTGCGGTCAGCTTCTTGTGCCTCCATCACTGCTCCAAGTTGCACAGTCAGCAAGCGATTGCTTTCCTACTGTAGAGCAGTTGCATGTAATAGCCCCTTTAAAACTTCCTCCATTTTGTCAATAGTACAGTACAGTCACTAGTTTTTAATCGTCTGGGTCTGTACTGGTAACGTTTTCAGTACAAAAATCTCACCACCGACACCATTTGTGGCAGGCTGGCCGGATTCGGAGTTCACAAATCGCAAAAATGTATCTTTGTCTCAATATGCCTGTTTTATTAAGCATGCATGCCATACATAAGGCTCCAAATGAAAAATACTACAGACAGTGGAGCCCGACGAGCAGCTTTCAGGCTGGCCGTTGTAATTACACGGCCGGCCGGGAGCTTTACAGTCAAGCGATCGAGCGTCTATAGAGACGCTCGATCGCTTGTGTCAGAAGCTGTCACTGCCGTTGCCGGTCCCGAGATCCGCTACGCCCGATGTGGCCGGGACAGGCACGGCTCTGTAACAGGAGATCAAAGGGAGTTCAGTACACAAACTCCCTTTGATCTCCTCTCAGTCCCCGAATGCAGGAAGTGATGTATATTACATCACTTCCTGCATTCAGTGTCACTCTCCAGCTAGAGAAGCTGATGAAGCCGATCTCTGCCTCATCAGCTTCTCTGGGGGTCCTTAGGTGACTTTAGGTCCCTCCTCGGTCTCCTGGGTGGAGCCCCAAACTATTGCCAGCACCTATACTAAAATAATCCTAGCGGAAATATATATTTTTTGTTTTATCAGAATGTGTTGTGAACTTTAAACAATACGGTTCTATAAAAGTAACTTACCTGGCATTATCAAGATCGTATATTATCCGGTCTATTATATCATTTGGATGAATCAGTCTTTCAATATCCTGGGATATTTTTGTCCTATGGAAACAGTTACACAGCACTTCAGAGGATAAGAAGAGAATATGTTTTTTTATAAAACATACAGCACTGAAATTGCTGATGATGCAAATATAGTGGATATACATGAGGGGCAGACACAACAGCACCATTTTATGTTACCAAGTACAGCTGCTCTTGTTAAGTAAAAAAAAATAAAAAAATCAAGACTTCCCTGAGGTAACGAATCATCAGAAGCCTTCACATATAATCAGCTTAAGGCCCCATTTACACTGAGCGACATGCAAATCTTGCGTGTAGTTGCACGACTTTTCGCACGTTTCTATTGAGCTGCAAGCAAATACTATCAAATCGCACGACATCCACACAAAAAAGGGTCATGTACAGGCAACGAGCGACAACGACAAGCTACAGGCGACATGGAGCTGTAGGATGTGAACAACTCCATTTAAAAACATTGGACGACCGATATCTCGCGGATTTTCGCGCAGTAATCCGCTCAGTGTGAATTGGGACTTAGTCGCCTGTACATATATCGCGCACCTACGATCACGCGGAAATACGCAAGATTTGCATGTCGCTCAGTGTGAAATGGGGCCTTAAAGCAGATTTACAGTGGCTTGCAAAAGTAGTCACCCCCTTGACATTTTTCCTATTTTGTTGCATTACCACCTGGAATTTAAATGGATTTGTATTTGGATTATTGTTTATGTAATGGACATACACAAAATAATCCAAAATGGTGAAGTGAAATCAAGAAAATAACTTGTTTTAAAAAATAATAAAAAAATAATAAAACACAAAAAAGTGGCACATGCATATGTATTCACCTTCTTTGCTATGAGAAACTAATTACCTTCAGAAGTCACATATTTAGTTAAATAAAGACCACCTGTATGGAATCTAAGTGTCACATGATCTCAGTAAATATACACACCTGCTCTGAAAGGCCCCAGAGTCAGTGAGCGCCACCACTGAGCAAGGGGCATCACCAAGCAAGTGGTACCATAAAGATCAAGGAGCTCTCCAAACAGGTCAGGGACAAAGTTGTGGAGAAGTACAAATCCGAGTAGGGTTATAAAAAAATATCCCACATTTTGAACATTCCACTATTTAAAAAAATGGACAGTATATGGCACCACAACAAACCTGCCAAAAGAAGGCCGCCGACCAAAACCCAAGGACCAGGCAAGGAAGGCCATTATTTAGAGCAAAGCTCCACAGCAGAGGTTGGGGTATCTGTCCGTAGGACCACTTTAAGCCGTACACTCCACAGAGCTGGCCTTCATGAAAGAGTGGCCAAAAAAAAGCCACCTTCACTATAGTACTGTATCATAAATCAATCATACATGTTACTGCCCTACTGTACTGATGGTCTATGTTCGCTGAATCTAGATTTCTATCCCATACATGTATTTTCATATCATGTCATTGCTAAGGGGACTCTTGGGCCTATGCTGTAACATTATAAACACCAATTCAATCAAAATATTTGTAAAAAAAACACAGTATAAATTCACAATAGTAATGGTTTTAAGATCTCAAAATCAATACACACTTGGGCTGTGTCCAGTGGTAACCGGCTTGTTTCTGTACTAACAATAACAATGGACATATCATCTACCACATATAAGGCAGTTTATGCTTATATGGTACAGCAAGTGATGTTCAGAGGTAAATCTAGTGGTAAAATAGATTGGGTAAACATTTCAGATGGTCTGCTAAATAAAATTGAAAGTCAGGTTAGACCTGCTTAGTCATTTGGGTGTTGTAGGGTTGATGGCTTAGGTTTTGGTCTAGAACTTCTCTATATGAATAGGGACAACACAGAATATATGTCTGACAAAAGTATTTATGTTCACAGGGAATAGTTCTATAATGTACAGACATTTTGGCAATATCAATAATCTCATCCCTCTACAAATTAGTCATTTGCACTTTTTGTTAAACTATACAAAAGGCCAAAGTAAGGAACAATATCAAATTGTCAGCTTGCAGTCCTCATTTGTTTAATCTCGTGCCAATTGTAATCCAATGTTTAGAAAGAGTAAATGCTTCCATAGCAATTACAAACTATCCAGGGAACAGGGCATCCCTGGAAGAAGTATAAAAGAAGTAACATTGTTGGCAGAAATGCTAAACGTAGGAGATTTACAAAGCAATGTAATGAAACTGACAAATTTACTGTAGGACTGACAGCTCAGCCAATGGGAAAATAAAAAATAACGTGTATCCTGTCACTAAATCCAGGTAGACATCTAACTTCTCAAGGTAAGACTGATTTTTACATAGTTTTCACAGGTGTTATTTAGGGATTGATAGAGATCTGTGACATGACGAAGGGTGCAAAAAAGAGCCTACAACGACCTATATGCACAGGTTCTGCTTGGGACATCATAAGAAATATCAAGGGTCAATTTAAAATAAAATTTCTATTTATGGCCTCAGTAAAAAAAAAAAAAAAAGTGCTTCAAACCAACTACCACTCCTTGAATAAATAGTAGACATCGACTGTAAGGTGGATAGATTTGTTTTCTTTTTATTTAAAACGAAAAGTGGACTTCAACTTTACAGCAATTAATTTTATGCACCACAGTGGAACCATCCCACGGCTATGAATTACAGTGGGAATCTAACATCTTGATCCTGGCTAGTAGCAAAATGGACAATAGGGATGTATACAACAATGTGTTTCCAAATTGAATCCTCTCACTGTTTAACAAATGCACTACATAGTTTATATGATGTATGTACGGTGTGACTCATATTTACTCACCTTTGTACACCATAAGGTCTTTCTAAAATGGGCTCTTTAAAGAATGGTGGCACATGGCCAAAGTAGTCCGGATAAGCCACTTCAGAATACTCTGGGACTGATTTGGTGCTCTTCACAATTTCTATGTAAAGTTCAGGATCATGGAGGGGCAGTACGTTTTCAGTATCCAGCAAACCCTGTAAATCCTGACTACTTAATGGACTAGTGTCTTCCTCCTCGGGTAAAACGGTAGAGCAACACAAAGGACCCAGGGTCACTGAATGCTTATCAAATAAGTTATTACCACATGATGAATTCTGGGAGGGTTTACTGCAGGAATGAGAAAAATGATTAGGCTTGTCTTTAGCAGAGCCATTTTTGCAAAGGTTATTGGCTGAAGACTTCTGCAGTGAGAGTCGGTCAAGATCTCTTACGACATCGTTGTTCAAGTAGCAGCATGAGGACTTCTCAGTATCACCCCGAGTCTGCTGGAAGGAGCCATTGTGGTCTCTCTTTATTTCTTTCTTTGGCACATCTAAGAAGTTTGGTCTTTTATTACATTCATCTTCTAAAGAAATACTACTGCCTTTTCTGGTCTCTTTAATGATATGTCTCGGTTTGTAAATGGGTTCTTCTTCTGCAGTTGGGACAATGATAGGTCCACCACGGTTTGCGCCACTCACTGGCTCATTTGAGACCAATTCAAAGTCCTTTGGAATAAATATAAGACAGAACACAGCAAAATCTGTGATACCTTTTCATTTAACGGATTAAACATTTTATTACTGCATGCTTAAGTTACATACAATTAAATTTTTTTAAATTCTTCTGAGAGATTTACTTGCAAAGCAAATCAGAAATCAACACTGCATGTCCATCCAATGTGCTTAGCATATTCACATGTAAACATGACATATCCCGATTCAGAAATATACCGTATATATATATAAAAAAAAACAAAAAAACACCAAAGATAAAGCAATCAAATGGATAGAAAAAAAACGTTTAATAATAACATCTTTTCATCAGCAGTATAGTAACGTTTGCTAATTAAAAAATCTAAAAATAGACAATCCCTGCAGAGCAAACACACAAATGTCCTGTTGCCGGCCCAGGTAAACGCCGCTACATTCAAGTGATAATTGCACTGAAAGATCTTTGCTATTTGGAATACTTCCAAATGTGTTGAATGCCTGGTCCCTCCCTGCACTCCTGTATCCTGTTGTGATGTAGGGGCTGGCGGACGAAACCAGAGTGCATCGGGAAGGGAGGGGTTCACCAGCATCTAACACTCCAGGAAGTGCTCCGTGTGTTTCTGTAGGAGACAAATGCTGGCCATGTGTACGCTCACTTATATAGAAAAACAATTACACGCATCAGGAGGTACCCAAACTACACAATGCCCCTCTGCAATCTAAATTCATCACCTCCTACTAACCCTCCCAGGTGCAGATGATGAAAAGTTGACTTGAAGAGATGACTTGTAGCAAGCAATAGGATAATAGGTATCGCGATAAAGACTTTACTCCCAGTTTTATCCATGTCTATTCCTCTTGGGAGGACCCTCCCTGGTAGAATTAATGTATTCAATGGGAGAGTCCAAGGAAAGTATCGGTTTAGCTGAGGATCGATAGTGCTCACACTGTAACGCATAGAGAAGCGGTGGATGAGCTGTTTGGGGAGTGAATCCGACATTTAGCGGTTTTAGCGTGTTACCATAATATGGGTGTATAGCCCTCTTTCTTTGTTATTATATAGGTTATTTTTATTTGGAGTGATTCATTTTCGCTTGGGGTTTTGACTCATAAGACCTTCTTATTTAAGAGCTCACATATTGTTTGGCGAGTGTCTGTCCATAAGGGTTAGGGTTTTTTTCTCACGGAGGATTTTATCTTGGTGGAAGTACATAAGATCGCTTACATTTTGAAGTGGAACCTTTTATGATATAAGAATATTTTTACAAGGGACCATCTTAAAATCATACTAAAAAAGGATATGTTTTCACATGCGATTTTTGACCTGGATTCACTGTGATTTGCCTGTTAATGCGGATTTTTTTATTTTGTTCACTGTTATTTTGTTTCACTGTGTTTATATTATTGGAAGAATTTATTGTTCACTTCCACTTGGGTGATAAGCCATTTTTGGGGCTTATTATTATAACAATGTAAGGTTTTTGTGTTTTTAGTGCTGTATTTTGGATAATTATTTTCTTTGATTATTTCATTGGATTCTTCTTCTATTGACTTCAATCAAGATTCCTCACTACATCACTGCTTGAGCTAGTCTCTACATAGTAGCGATCCATACCGTCATTTGCTCAGTCTGACTTTGGAGACTGTACCCAGACCCTGTTGGACTGGCCATTGCAGGCAAGGCTGGAATGTGAACTTCAGGCACTGGGCTCATTGTGGGAGTTAACAGTCCCAAGTGTACTTTTTATAGACTTCCCCATTAGACTCACAGTTAAACTGGTACTGGGTGGTACCACTTCAGGAGATTCTCTGATCTGCAATGGGGACCAGCTTTGACTGTCCCTCATCCTGACTAAGATTTACAAACCTGATATCTCTCAGAGCACTGACTCCTTTGTCTTGCTTAGTCACTGTACAGGTAGCCCTTGACTTACGCCAGGGTTAGGTTCCAGAAGGAATGGTTGCAAATAGAAACTGATGTAAATTGAAACCTAGTATATAATGTAAGTCAATGGGAAGTGCAGGAGATATGTTCCTGGCCTCTCTCAAAAATGACATAAGTGACATACACTATATTTAAAGCTTTGAAATGAATGTTATGAATGCTCCAAGGGTACTCCTGTGCCCATAGCGTGGCTTTATGTGCCTCCATATCTCCAAATTAACTTGTGTGCCATATCTCTGAGTGTACCCCTGTGCTTTTCTGTAACTCCAAGTGCACCTCTGCTCTCCTTTACATCTCCAAGTATACCCCTGTCCTCCTCCATATCTCCAAATGTACAATTGTGCTCCTCCATATCTCCAAGTGTACCCATGTGCTCATCCATATCTCCAAGTGTACCTCCAAGTGTACCCCCTGTACCTCCAGCATGTCTCTATGTGCTTGTACACATCTCCATGTGTATCCCTGTGCCACCAGCACATCTCCCTGTGTGCACCACCACACCTCCAAGTGTCTCTCTGTAGGCCCCCAGTCCTTCCTGAGCCACAATCCTCCACCTGTGCCCCGATCTAGCTGCCAGAGACTGTTGAATTATAACCACCTGCAGTTGTGCTGTATAGTGTTCCCCTGCATATCTTTACAGATACACTAGGTGGTGCTGTCAAGTGACCGGCTGATATTTTGAATCAGCGCAAAAAGAACCGGAGCAAACGTTCGGCTACTTGTACATGCAAATGAGCAAGCACCATCTGGCTCAGCCAGGGAGGGGTACACTTTATATACATGTAGGTATAAATACGCAGTCACCACTTTCTCCCATCACAATTTGCGCAGAAGGCGCTTCTATATTACCAGCTGTTCTTATAAACACAGCGACCAGACAGAAGGTAACAGATATAAGAAATAAACAAGGAAGATCAATGGCCATTATAGACATGCAAACAGTTCTGTAGTATGTGTAAAGATGAAACTCTAATGCTAACTTTGTATACCAACTAACTTGTGAAGTAGAAGGACAATTTCTGCACAATATGTCTTTATGCGCACCTGGAAATCATCTCTTAACTCTGGGAAAAAGCATTCATACATCTTCAGATCTCCTGTAGATCGTTCCAAATCTTGTACAGGTTTGAGTTTACTTATGTCAGTCTCTATGTCATCATTCTGATTAAAAAACAACAGGAAATAGTATAAATAATTAACATCAATAAAATAAAAATGGTAAATTTGTATATTGATATAAAGTTTTATACAGACTTATCTTGAACAGAAATGTGCTAATATTCTAAAACAAAGCTTGGTCTGGGACCCACCCTGTCATTGCATAACAAAGGAGCAGCAGCAGCAGAACACATATGATGAGCATCCCCTCTGCTCTAACTCCTATCAGCATATTTCCTGTCAGCACACAGCAGATCCTGATTGGCTACTAATGTTAAACCCTCTCTCCCAGTTTGGATACAACATTGCAGGGGATTACAGAGGTCTGATATCAGAAAGATTCAGATACTTTCGACAGCTGAATATTAAAGCATTTCTTTTTTTTTTTTTTATTCCGACTGGAATATTGGCAAACAAACAATGACCAGCCTGGTATAACCTTCCCACTCTCAGCATGCCTCAGTCACATCATAGGCACAGAGGACTGAGTCCCTTAATTAACTACAAGTAATGGATTTTACAGTTTTCTTTCCTGTTTATTGAGGGACACAGGATTCAGAGACAACTGGGACATCCAAAAATAGTCCAACTGAGGGGTGGGCAACAACAATAGAACACTAACAGACCCACACATCAAAATGACAAAGTCACTGGCTCAGACACATGCCTTGCAGAGGTAATTGTGACAAGGAAAGTGAAATTTGGAATAAGAGTGAAAAGGGGAAAAGGGAAGTTTTTGATGTGCTGAGAGAACCAAGCTCAAATTCTACAAAGTCACAAGTGAACACACAGGGGGAGCTACATGAAAGACACCCTAAACATAGGTCTCAATCAAAGAATGGGGTCTCTGGAACAAGACTGCAAGTCCTGAGATCTGGCCCCTGAAGGTGCTGAGGGCCAACTGTTGATCCAGGATCCGTGCCATGAAGTATTTCCTGGGATGAAAGTATTATTGCTCATACCAAGTATACCTCCCATATACAATTGTAACCCTTGCAGGACATAGATTTCCTGGATTTTAACATCATAGTAATCACTCAAAGATCGAGCAGATGAGGAAGGAGTTTCAGGGGAGGAAAGGCATAGACAGGCTGTAGTGATCCCACAGAGCCACCTCCACCAGAGGATCTCTGCACCTGGTTTTAGAAAGTATATTGCACACAGTGGGAACATAAAATACTGCAGAATACAATTACAATAGAATATGCCACTTTCCTGGGCCCTCATAATTATTTGTATTATTGTTATAAGATAAAAAAGAAATACTAGGCACAGTCAAAGAGATGCCATCCTATATAATGTAAAAGTAAAGCAGCTCACAAAACTAGACTTGTACACTTGCCTTGAAAACCTGCTCATTATCATCTTCATTTTCGGCATCTGCTTCTGTGTCTGCTTCTGTGTCATCATTGTCATCACTCTCATCAACTACATCATCAACTAAGGGAAGAAAAATAAAATGTTACCTAGCTATAGCAGTGGCCAATTCCCTCTAAGTTAGCATGTTATCAACACATTGTGGCTGACTTGAGTAGAGCATGTAAACTTTGAAAAGTAACATTTTCATTTTTTAATGGAATTATCCCTTCACTTGGCAAAGAATACCCAATCACATGCAAGGGAAATTAAAGAAAAAGATTTTTACTTGCACATGATTGGATGATGGAAGTCAGCAGAGCTTTAATCTTATTAATTAAATTAAATGAAAATGTCCTTAGTTGTTTTGGTAAAACAGCCAAAATGTTGTTTAAATAGTATAGATAGTTTTCACATTCTGTGCTGCCTGCTACCCTAATGGGCTAATTTCTCTTCACTTCCTGTTCTAGTTTGTCACCCTGCCACATCCTTGCAAACAGGATGACACTGGGAGAGAAAAAAAGTAGAGGGAATCTTTCCTGTGGAGACACAACCCATAAAAAAAACCAGAAAAAGGATCGAACACTTCTACCTCTGTTAAAAATATATTTTATTGCCTTTTCTGTCCCATTGCAGATATTTTATCTCCACTAAAGAGATGTGGCACTGGTTTATAGACAAATAATGAGTGCAAATTTCCCTAAAGAGGACAATAAAGAGCAATATAGAGTTAAAAGGAGAACTATGAGGTAAGTGATTTTCACTCAACCTCATAGTTTGAGCCGACCTGTGACAATGAAATCTCACACGTTGGCTCAATAGATCGGGGAGTGAACACATACCGTCGCTTGCTCACTTCTCGATCATGTCCCTGCAGAGAGCCGTGACGGTCACTCACGGCTCCCTGCAGGGATTCTCCCCTCTCCGTTCCTCCAGCGCTGACTGGCGGAACGGACAGAGGAGGGGGCATGTACAGCTGGCTGGAGGAGGGGGCATGTACAGATAGCTTAGTAGAAAGGCATCATGTCACACTCACAAACCAGCTTGTAAAACAACTTGTCTCACCACTAAGGACAATGAGAGGTTTGGATACCGGTCTTCTGCAGAGGATGTGAAAGCCGCACTGCCGCGCCAAGGCACCTCTTATAGTGCGGTCCTAACTCTTAACTATGAGAGTCTCCATCTTGGAGCACATGGGGGGCAGAAGATTTCAAATTGGGTGCAGGTTTGTCAGGAGGACGCCCAACCTCCTTACAGAAGACACAGAAGACAGGTATCCAAACCTCTGTTATTATTCTTAGTGGTGAGACAAGTTGTTTTACATGCTGGTTTGTGAGTGTGCCATGATGCCTTTCTACTATTTTATTGTTCAAAGCCCATTTCGTGTTCACCTTACTGTATAACTGGTGACAAATTGTTGAGTGCGTTTGTCGTTTGTTTTGCATGTACAGATAGCTGTCACTCACACAGCTGGGTGGATCTCGACAGTAATGTCGGGATCCGTCCCAGGTGCGGCAGTCTCAGTATACTGTCAGCTGTAGCTCGCGATATACTGAGCTTTGGGTCACAGGAGGACGCTAGTTTATGTCCTCCCGTGACCCTTGGGAGAACTATGGGGAAAAACACTTACCCCATAGTTCTCCTTTAAGAAAGACTCTAATGCTTTTCATCTTTTGTCAACATGTTTTTTAAAAGTTTTGGCTACACATTATCTTGGTAAATACGACATACAAAAGCTGGCATTGCTGATCTGAAAATGCCAAGTTCCCGACAGCTGTGCTGATCCTCTGGTTTCAATACGTTGCGTTATGGACCCAAAACAATGCAGCCATTAATATCAGAACCTATTTGCCCACTTGTTTCACGTCAGTGACCCAGTAAGAATTGAAGCTAGATCGGCATGGCAGTCAAGCAACTATTATTTCCACAAGGAGAAATACGGAATGGCAATCTCCATGTTCCTTATAGCACAGGTTTCCTTAAGGGGAACCTGAAGTGATCTCAAAGTGGGTACAGCACTTCTGGTGCCAGATAGTAGCTGGTTGTACATCTGGTACTATCTGGTACAAGAAATGCATTTCCTACTTGTAGATCACTGCAAGTGTACTTTGAAACCCATATTAACTGGGAATGCAATAGCTGCATATTTTTGTACACCTGGTAAATTTTAGTGGTAACAGACACAACTGTGCAAAAAGGCGCCCTACTGAGGGTAAATTCTTGCATTATTACATGCAAAATGAAGGAAAGAAAAAAACATGGATGGTTGTTACAAACAACCACACAAATGGGTCAAATGTTAGCATCACTTACAGTTCGTTCTAGACCTGTTATGGGCAAAAACTCTACCTACCTACAAATCTACCTACCTAAATATACAGAGTCAATCAAAAACATATGATAAAAAGGATCATCGTCTGCAATCTGCTCAAGTCCCTAAAATTAGACAAGTCGGCACACCTACCTTCAGGAGACATGTTGTATATCTGAGCCACAGGTCCACTTGTAGGTATAATAGGCAGCTGGAAATGAAAAGCACTTTTGATGGTTGGTAAGGGAAGACGATTCTTCGGAAAGCATTTTCTCATTATCAGACTAGATGTATTAACAAGGGGATCCAATGTCCTAACAGCCTGGCAATCCTATAAGGAAGTAAAAGGAAAAAGTCAGATCTCCATTCATCTAAACAACTATTTAATGATGAACATGCCGACACATCTATCCCATCTTAATTTACAAGACTGTCTAATTTTCACCCCTACTGCAGTGCTTTAATTACAATCTGCATTGATTCAACATATGCAAAACAACTGCCGTCATACTCATGACTATCTTTCTGGTAAGACACCACATTCTTTTCCAGACTCAGATGGATATTGTGTACATGGAAAAATAAACTTTGTTCCTTTTTCACCAAAAAAAGGAAACCCTCAGGTACCAGTTACAGTAGCAGACTACATATCCCTTAGGTTTCCTTTAAAGAGAAACTTTAAACTGCAGGAATCTAAAATATTTACCATTGCTGCTGTTCAAGTACTGATACTTGTTCAAGTACTCACAGATACAATTACTGATACATTTTTGTTTATTGCCATGTGACAGACTAATGATTTCAGGACAGCGGACAGTTCAGGACAGTGGTCTGTCACAGCTGCGACCCTGGTAGTTGTTGTGAAAATGCCAAGCATTTGAACATCCCTACTTGCAATGGAGCTACCCCCACACTGCAGGGGTTAAGTGCTCATTTTGGTCTGGGGGCTCAAATAAAAAATACATTCACCTAATCCTCGGTCCCATCTGGCTGTTAGACCAGACCCCGCTGCCTCTTCTTCCCCAAGCTCCAGTGGTCTGGGGGCCTGTGGCGTCATCTCGTCTGGTCCATTCATCTGTATTAGCCATGAGGACGCTGATGTATGTGTACACTGCTGCACACTTTAGTTGAGAAAAGACTACTGACATCTTCTGGACCAATATCAGTTTGACTTACTTTCAGAGTGAGATTTCAAGAAACGAATTCTTGATATTTTTCGGAATTCTTGTCTCTGATAACTGGTACATTGTCATAAACAAAATTCTAACAACAAAATTTAGGATTCTGGTACAAAGCATTGCAAACAACGATTTTCCTGATATCTGTGAATTTGACTGTGTTGCAATTTATCCCTTAACTAAAAAGTTATGCAAGTCAGTTGATTTCATCACCATTTTATGATAGAAACATAAAAAACAACGATGAAGAAATATAAAACAATGTATCCCTTGCGGGATCATGCCTTCACAGAGTTCTCCACAACTTCCCCTTTAAATGGGCATCGACCGCAATTAAATACCTGGGGATACTTCTACCCAAAGATATATCTCAAACATATGCGCTGAACTTCCCCCCGCTCCTGCAACGTATAACTGCAGATCTTGAGACATGGACCAAAAATACCTTCTCGTGGATGGGAAGATGTAACATATTAAAGCAGTCTATACTTCCTAGACTTCTTTACCCCCTTCAAGCCCTCCCGATTTTCATCCCTACAGTTTTTTTCCGTAAAATACGAACGCTTTTCTCGGGGTTTGTCTGGTCACAGAGATCAGCTAGGATCAGCTACGATATCTTGCGTAGACCCAAACAACAGGGCGGGATATCATTACCAGATGCACGACAGTACTATGTGGCGGTCCACCTGACACGTATAATAGACTGGTGCCACAACTCCCAAACCAAACTTTGGGTAGACCTGGAACAATCGTATGCAGATGTCCCTTTAGCCAATCTCCCTTGGTGTACCACTTCCCTACCTCCACAATTACAATCCCACCCCACCATAGGCCCCACGATCAAGATTGCACGGTCCATTTTTAAGGGAGGTAGAATCTCTCCCTTTCCTTCACCTCTCACTCCCATTTTAGACAACCCGGCATTTCCACCGGGTATAGGTGCCCACACATACACGGCACTACGGAGACTCGGAAAAGATAAGGCCAAACACTTTCTGACTGACACGACTAGACCCTAAACTAACACTCTTTGCACCAACCCGGATTATGGCCCTCTTGACTTTTGGTCAGCTGTGCGACTGTCACACTTCCTGCACGCGAACCCTGTAATGCGACACTCCTGTAGACCCCTTACTCCATTTGAGCAACTTTGCTCACAAGATAAGTCTCCCTTGACACACCCTTTCCCTATGCTATAGATTGTTGATTCAACCACTGAACCCAGATGATCTGTGGTTTATATCACGATGGGAGGGAGAACTACAGACCAGCTTCACCCCGGAAGCCATGAAGAAATTACTTACACTCTTGTATCGTTCTTCGATTAGTAATAGATATCAAGAGTCTGGCTATAAGGTCATGACTAGATGGTACTGTACTCCACAATCCCTTCACACACTATTTCCCGAGTCACCCGACCGATGTTGGCGATGCCAACAACCCGGAGCAGGCATGTTACATATCTTCTGGTCCTGCCCGGCTCTCCGACGGTTTTGGGAGCAAGTACGCGCTCTCGTTCAGAAATTTACGGATGTCCAGGTACCTGAAGACCTGACCTTCTTTCTCCTCCATCATAATACCATCCCGCTGCGTTCCTATACCCACTCCTTGATTAGACACGTGGTAAATGCCACTCGGGCATGCATCCCAGCACTCTGGAAGAAACCTGAAGCCGCCCATATAAGCCAAGTTCTAGACCGTATCCATGATATATATATCATGGAAGATCTCACGAGTTCTATTAAACATACCTCTGCCTCAGTCGCTCGAACCTGGCTCCTCTGGCTGGAATACATTCAGTCCCCTGACTACCTTACCCTCAGATAGGAGAACACTGATTCGCTCCTGATGGGGTAACTCTATCCCATCCCTACCCTATATTTCCTGCTTCCTTATCCTCCTTAGCTAATTGTCCTACTATCATTTTTCTTTTTCTCAGTGATCTAGTAACTACCGGGCCATTTAATCCCGCATGACTCCCCCCCTTTCCCCCCCTATTTTTTTTTTTCCCCTCTCTTTTTCTTCTTTATTACTCAACCCCTAACCCACACAACCTACTCACTCACGGTGTTCTGTATTGGTTTTATTTTTTGTTATGGTCTGTTTTGCTGTGCAAGTTTTAAAAACAACATTTTTTTATGCATGTTATTGACAGGATGTCATTTCACTTAGGGCTAGAAGCCCCTTCTTTTCTCTACACACCTCCCTGGGATTCACAGTTGCTCTCATAAGCACTTGAACACTTACATGTCCCCCTTCTGAGATACTTATGGGTCACTGACCAGCTGAGCAGGGGGAATATCTTCCCCCTTTTTCCCTTTCTTTCTCCACTTTTTTTTCCCCTCTTAAATGCTTTAAATATTTCATTTGTTTATTTTTATTATATACATCGCAATGCATTTGAAGTATTCTCTCTATGACCGCTTGAACGAGCAACTATTTGTTATTCAAGCACTTGTTTATCTCTTTTGTGATCACCGTCAAGGTATTTAAAACATAAAATAAAGAATTTATAAAAAAAGAAATATAAAAAACACACGAACATCATTTAAATTACCATAAACAGCAGAGCTCTGATTTATACATACCTGTGAGGTGTTATAGAGAATTTTCATTCCATTGGCATCAATGAAAGCTTTTCTACCCAGTTTTATGTTTGTAATATTTTTAAGGCACTGGAGAATGCCCTTTCTGATCAACATATGTCTATGGCGAGTGTCATGACGATGCCAGTCTAAATAAGTTGTTAAGAGCCCATTGACATATCCTCGATCTACTGCTTTTCTGGCATTTGTTTCTGAAAATTACAGATATGAAATTAATAAAAAGAAAATACTCAGGATAAAGTAACGGAAAGCACAACCGAAAGAAAAACAGTTACACTTACTGGAAATCCTGCAGTTATATTGTTTTCTTTATTAACAGATGTTTAGACTATAGTAGTATCTGGAGAAATACTGGCACTAGGAAACTGCATAGGTTTGTGACTAGCCTTGATCCAAGTTTCAATGTAAACAATGTCTTTTAAATTCACAAAGCAAATAGTATTCGGTATTCAGCATAAAGCTACATACTAGTAGACTTATCCAGTCAGTGCAAGAAATACTCAGAGTACCCAATTAGGATTATTTTTGTAGTGGTCTGTCTTTGGTAAAATGTATTCGGATTGGCTGGTAGGTTAGTGGTGTACCTATAACCATAGCAGCCCATGCGACTACTGTGTGTGTGTGGGAGTAAAAAAAAAAAAGCCTGTATTAGGGTTATAGCATAACTGTGTGCAGAAGCACCAACAATTATGTAATATAATATACTATTATGGTTGTTATTATTACTACACTTCACTATGTAGTATTAATACTACATTTTTTTATTTTACTACTAAACCATGACATATGGCATTTGCTTGCTGTGGTGGTGGAAAGGGTGGGAGGGCCTAGACTTTACACCAAGCTCCTGAGATCTTGTACCCCTACGAAGATCAGTTGATTTGGAAAAAAAAGAGTGGTGAATTATCGAGGACAGAGTAGTTAGCTGAGAAATTAAAGTGGCACTAAACTCAGGAGTTAAATCTTAAAAATTAGGGCTGCGGAAATTAACAATCACTCGATTAATCGTTAATTTTTTGAATCGATCAAAATTCATTTGATCGTACTCACCTCTCCGCCGGCTTCTGGGTCTTCCGGGAGTCCCGTCACGGACATCGACGTCACTGGACTCTTACCCCCTACCCCAAGTGGCTACGTTGGCTAACGAAGGGAAGGGGGAGGAGTCCGGTGACGTTGATGTCCATGATGTCACCGGGCTCCTCCCCTTTTCCCTTCATAGCCGACGGAGCCAATTGGGCCGGTGAGTTTGCCCAAGAAACAAATCAATGCTTGTTCAGCAAATAATTTGGAATGCCTGGCCCCAAAAACAAAGAGCAGGGAGACTCTTGAATTGCCTGTTCCGGCACAGGTACCAACCACCACATACATTTGAATTCAGAATTCTGTATGTGCTGCACATAGAAAGATAAATGGGTCCTACTCACATGGTGATATTGCAGCAAACAGAATATTTCCCTGGGAGTAACAAGTGCCCAAGGCATTCATTATTATTTTTAATTAAAGAAGAAAAGTTATGTTTTGAAAAACTAAAGCAATGCTTTAAATGATCAGCTTTGTTTGCTTTCATCAAGCTCGTCGGAGATCCGGTGACGTCACGGACATCGACGTCACCTGACTCCTCCCCCCTTCCCCAAGTGGCTCCGCCGGCTAACGAAGGGAAGGGGGGAGGAGTCCAGTGACGTCGATGTCCGTGACGGCTAACGTTATAATTAATCGAAATCGATTTAAAAAAATTTGATTAAATCGAACACGAAAATTTTAATCAATAACAGCCCTATTAAAAATGCATTTAAGTTCCTTAACTATTAACAAAAAAAATCATCTCTGAACTGGTGCTGACACTGTCCTTCCTTCTAGAGGGTGGCTACTTTTTTTCCCCATGGTCCGTGTGTGTGTTGTAAAGTAGCCACTGCTCCAAACTTGCTCCTGTGATGGACTACAATCTCAATACAAATTAGTAAACTAAACGTGGGATTTTTAGTTCATCATGGGAGTGAGCTTGGAGCTGTTGTCACCTTACAACACACACAGGGACCATGGGGAAAAAACGTAGCCACCCTCCAGAAGGAAGGACAGTGTCGGCACCAATTCAGAGATGATTTGAGGATCTACAGCTGAGTGATACACAAATAAGGTACATTTTTGTTAATTGATTAAAATACTTAAAGGCATTTTTAAGGATGAAAGTTAATTTCCTGCACTGCTGCCTCTCTCCTCCCTGCAAACTTCTATCCCTTGGTTCCTAGCAGTGTACTTATAGCTCTCCTGTGACCTATACTTGAATTGTGCATATTTTATGTTAAGATGAATGACAGTATGCCAACTGCCACAGAGAGGTGGATTTTGTGAAAACGATTACATTCCTCGTACACATTTCAATTCTACAAATCAGCTTTTCAAAATTAAATGACAATACTCGATGGGAAATTAAACTCAGAAGACTAAAAAGTAATAAATAAACGATAGTACACAAAATACAGACAAGAACTTACTTGATTTTACCAAAGCAGCAAGTGTATCTAAGGAGACCCTGAAAAAATGAATACGGTAGTTGAGGAACCATAACCATTCTAATAACTGTTAATATAATAATAATTACTTGTATTAGTAATAACAAACAAGTAGCGCCTACACATCCTTACCAAAAGTAATTAGGTTCCATATAATTTGTCCTTCTAATATTACTGGGCTGAAGAAAAAAATCTCAAAACCTAATAACCCGGATTTATTATCTCATCGGTTAAACTAAATGTATAGTAGTTTTGAGTATATACTTTTTTTTTTTTTAGTCCGAAACACAATTTTAGACTTTTATAACATATTGCATATTATGCGGTCTTTGATCCAGCCAGCAGATGGAGCACTAGTCTTTTCACAAATTCAGATATTTAATCTTTTAGCAATGCTGATACGCCAACAAGTCATGACAGCAGTGATTCATCTCTAATCAGAAAGCTGAATCGGAAGCTTTTCCCTAATCATCCTAAGTGCAACACCGAAACCATAACAGCAGGCACCGTGTTTTTAGTCACTGAGGCGGTGGAGAGATCACAAAGATCTCCCTGTGACCGGCTCATCAATACAGAGCACAGCAGCACTTTCCATTTACATTTCTCACATAACAGCTGCAGTCTTCAGTGCCTGGGAAGCTGCAAGGGAGCATGGCTGTGGCTTCCCATACAATCAGGAAGCCATGTGGGTGGTCACATGACCACCTGCCAGGCTCCCCTGCTGGAAGAGGTAAGACAGCTAGAGGTGGGAATCCAGGATGCCTCAGGTCTGTGTATGTATGCAATATACACACTAATTATATATATATATATATATATGTCCGTAAAGGTCCTGCCTTTAGCTATATCTCTTATCGTGACAAAAAGTACTATTCTGCAACCAATTTCTGCAATATCTCAAGAATTTTAAGGAAAATGCAGAGCTTTGCTTTACATTATATTTCTTATGCTAAAACCATGCTGCACATGAGGGTTTTACACGATCTTCTAGAAAAAGAGAAGTAATCTGGAAATGTACTTGCTAGAAGGCGTTAAAACATTTCATCAGCACAACAGTAAATTTAGAATATGTGTGTCAAGCAGAGACATTCCATCTGCATAGGAGAGATATTTCATAGCAGCATACAGTAGTTATAACAGGCTAGAGACCGTAGCACAGCGGAAAAAATATGAATATATAACTTGTATAATTTCAAGGGGTCACCACAGGGTTCCTGCTCCATCCTTTAGTTGTCAGGAAAGCATTGACTGTTGGTCGTGGGGAGTTCTACTGTTTGCAGTAAACAGTTTACAGCTCATGTCAAGGATTGTGATGATACTGTGCCTGAGTTTTGGGGTCCGTCACATGCCAGGAGAACTTTTCAATCAAGCTCCTAGGGTGGCTTTATTTTTTAGTCTATTGACTACTACATTACTCACTAGCTTTAGTAAAGAATGAAGCTAAGAAAACGTATAAAATATTATTGACAGCACCCACCATACTGCTGAAAATTTACACTTTCACTACACTGATATTATAAATATTCTATTATGAATGCTCAAAGCTATTAGGTTATAGCTTTGAGCAGTCCTGAACTTGTGATGGACAGTAAAAGGAGGTAGACTTACTTCATGAGGCTGGTATTCTTCTTACTAAATGGTGCTATTATCTTGAAGAGAAGTTCAACTGCTCCATTTTTGCCAAGGTACACGGCATTCACAGCTAGAATGAACAAAGCTAATATAAACAAGACTGCATATTATAAGCTTCAGTAATTTTG